GGCATATAATCTTTTTAATCCTGGGCTTCCACTGGCACATCCAGCCACTCCCTTAAGAGACCTGGTAAAGGGCAAAAAAGGACTTGCTGGGGCGAGAGGGAGCCACAGGTAAGAAGTACTTCAGTCCCTCAGCAGCCATGTCTTGGGGCCCAGTGGCTCATGGCTCTAATCCTAGCTATTCAGAAGGCTGAGATGTAAGGAGGTTTGAAAACAATCTGGGCACATTAATTAATTAAAAATGATTAATGGGTTCTTGCCCAGGTCCACTGGGGACACCAGAATGAAGGTCACAGTCTTCCTGAGGACCATCCAGATGAACTAAGATCATCCATCCAAGACCAGGCACCACTGATGGGTCCTGAGGCCACTGTGCTAACTCAGGGGAAACAGACCTAGAGATGGAGCTCCAGGGAGGAGAGCTCTGCTGAAGGCCTCAGGGTGGCACTGCAGGGTGGGCCCTGCCCAGGGACCACGGCTCTGCTAGTCCCTTCCACAGAGCTGCCATGCCAATTACAGGGAAGCTGGGTGCCAACCAGAAGGAAATCCTGCCCTTCAGTTCTGAGGATGTCTTGAACATGGGGGAACAGACCTGTGAGATTTGGGAGGGAAGGAGAGAAGAAACCCCAGAAGGGTGTTCTCAGCTCTGGGCACCGCTGGGTCCTGCCCACAACCCTGGGGTCCTCTCCTCCATTTTCTCATGAGCCTCAGGAACAGAGCTGAAAGAAGCCCTAAAGGAAATAGCCAGGAGAAAAAGCAGAAGTTGGAGGCCTGGGGACTGGCCCAACCCAGAGGGGCCCCAGGTCCACCATTGTCTTGGCGTGGCAGCCCTGAAGGGGGAAAAATGAGCCCTTGGGCCCTGGCTGTGTGGCTGCCTTTGAATCTGCTGCTTCTCTGGCTCCCAGGTGAGGGATCTTCTTCCTGGGGGTGGGGTGGGGGCAGGAGATGGAAGGAGGGCAGGAGGGGGGGGAGGCTGTAGGGAGATATCACGTGAGGCATTCAAGCCTGGGCTCCTCTGTCCACACACCCTGGCTGAAGGCCTCACTCCTGGGAGGGAAGGGCCAGGGTGCCTCTGACTTTGGATGTACCCCGGTGTGGGGCAGGGCAGAGTGGGGGCCATGAAGAGGTGGGGGGGAGGGGAATGTATCCAGGTCCCCCCAGCCTGGGAGAAGAGTGGCCAGGAACAGACACCTAGGTGCTATGTGTTTGGGGAAGGTGCCTGTGGGTCACCAGATTTGGAGTGTAAGAGGAAGGGTGGGGACAGGGAAAGAAGGTTTCAGTCTCAGCTAAGCAGCTCCAGCCAGGGTGGCAGACATGAGACAGGGGTTCTGTGGAGGGCCATAGATCAGCTGTCCCACCAGCAGGGAGATGGGGCTGGGGAAGGAAACAGGTGGCAGAGCAAAGGGGGAGACTTTCATGAAGAGAAAAGGTAGAGGAGTCCGGCTAAGGACAAAGCCTCCTCCCTCAGAGTGGTCTCTGAGTCCTCCTTACCACAGACTCCTCAAACCGTCCTGCTGTCTTGTTGGACTAAATCCTAGAATTTCTTTGATTTAGAGCTAGGAAGCCAGCCTTTCCCCCTAACTCTGCCCATTTTGAACTCAGAGATTCTTGCTCTTGTTTGACTCTCTCTTGCTCAAGGTTGGTGCTCTACCACTGTAATTATAGCTCCACTTCTGGCTTTTTGGTGGTTAATTGAAGATAAGAGCTCACAGATTTCCCTTCCTGACTGGCTTCAAACCTCAATCCTCAGACCTCAGCCTCCTGAGTAGCCAGGATTATAGGCATGAGCCACTAGTGCCTGGCAATCAAAAGTTATTGAGGGGCTGGGAAGGTGGCTCAGTGGTAGAGTGCTTGCCTTGCATGCATGAGGCCCTGGGTTCAATTCCTCAACACCACATAAGCAAAAAAAAAAAAAAAAAGTTATTGAGACCTCATCTTAAACAGTGAAAAACTGGGTATGGTTGTGTTTTCCTGTCATCCCAGGAGAAGTATAAATAGGAGGCTCGCTGGATGACAGGGGCACAAATGTAAGAATAACCTATATAAAAAATAACCAAAGCAGCAAGTACAGGTGGGAAAAACTGGCAGAGGTTGAAGGAAGGGGTGACATTGTCCAAAAAGAAATGTACTTACTACCTGACTTATGTACCTGTAACCCGTCTGTATACCACCTTTAGAATAGCAATAAAAAAATCTAAAAACAAAAGAAAGAAGCTAAGACAAAGGGCTGTCATTGAGGCTTAAGTGGTAGAGTACTCGGGTACTTGCCTTGCAAATGAGTGGCCCTGAGTTCAAGCCTCAGGATTGCCCCACTCCAAAGAATTCCAACCTAGGTAAAGAGTGGACCCCACCATTTCTGATGACAGGGCCTCTCAAGGGTCCCAGGAGGACAGACACACAGCCATGCCTCAGCTGGGTGTGTGGCCATCCCAAGGCCAGCTCCCAGCTCCCTGATTGGGGGGCAGCATTAGCTGCCAGCTTTGTGTCTGATAAGTGTTAGGGAAAATGGCAGATAGAATATTGGCAACCAAAAATGAGCTTAAGCTGGGGGCCAGTGGCTCATGCCTATAATCCTAGCAATTCAGGAGGCTAAGATCTGAGAATCATGGTTCAAAGCTGGCCCAGACAGGAAAGTCCATGAGACTCTTCTCTGCAATTAACCACCAGAAAACTGGAAGTGAAGCTATGGCTTAAGTGATAGAACCATCTGCCTTGAACAAAAAAAACTCAGGGAGAACACGTAGCCCCTGAGTTCAAGCACCAGTAATAGCACACACACCAAAAAAATAAAGAAAGAAAAGGAGAAAGGAAGAAAGAGAGAGAGAAAAGGAAGGAAGGGAGGGAAGGAGGGAGGGAGGGAGGGAGGAAAAAGAAAGAAAGAAAGAAAAAAGGAAGGAAGGAAGGGAGGGACGGAGGGAGGGAGGAAAAAGAAAGGAAAAAAGGAAGAAAGAAAGAAAGGAAGGAAGAAAGCTTACTTGAAAATTAAGTGAGCAGATCTGGGCCAGCTGAGTTGAGTCTGGGTGAATGAGGGATATTGTCACTGAGCCCTGCACTCAGAACTGTTTTGACCCACACCCTAATCAATTGTGTGCATTGCCCTTGTCAAAAAAGCCACCCTGCTCAGGTGTCTGTGGCTCACACCTGTAATCTTAGCTATTCAGGAGGCTGAGATCTGAGGATCATGGTTTGAAGCCAGTCCTGGCAGGAAAGTTCATGAGACTCTTTTCTCCAATAAACTACTCAAAAAAGCTGGCAGTGGTGCTGTGTCTCAAGTGGTAGAGCACTCACCTTGAGGAAAAGAAGCTCAGGGGCAGTGCTGAGGACCAGAGTTCATGCAGCCAGATCTGCACAACAAAACAAAAGGCCTCCCTGCTTGGGTCTGGCTCCTCTCCCTCAGTGGGACCAGATGGGCTTGTGGTGGCTGCTGGGGGAGGGGTAGCATGTGTGAAAGCAGGGTGAGGACTCTGGGGGACTGAGGCTGAGGGGAGACACTGCTGGGTCAACCTCTTGGGTTGCTGGAGTGGTGCAAAGGGGTGATCTGGCTTGGAGGCTCTGACCCCGCCCATCTGTGAAGGCCCAGAACTGGGGCTTGTGTTTTCCAGGCTGCTGTCTTCTGAGAGGCCCCAGCAGAGTGACAGGCACCCAGGGTGGATCCCTGAGCCTGCAGTGCTGGTATGAGGAGAAATACAAGACATATAACAAATACTGGTGCAGAAGCTCAAGTGTGCTAGGACGATGTGAGAATACTGTGAAGACCAAAGACTCAGAGAGAGAAGTGAGCAGAGGCAGAATGTCCATCAGTGACCATCCTGAGAACCTCACCTTCACTGTGACCTTCAAGAACCTCTCTCTGGAGGACTCAGGCTCTTACTGGTGTGGGATTCACATACCCTGGCATGAAGGACCGGATGACTCCTTCCTGGTTTCGGTGTCTGTGCTCCCATATGAGCCCCCCTCCTACCAGCCCGGGGGCTGCCACAGAAACTCAGGTAGGAGAAGCTGGGGCAGGAATCAGATCAGAGCCTGGGAGCCATTCTGGGGGGTAGGGGAGGAGGAGAAAGAGAAGTAGAGGGGGGAAGGGAGGGAGAGAGGGTGGGGAGAGAGAGAGGGAGAGAGGGGGAAAGAGAGAGAAGAAATAGAGACAGAGAAAGAGATAGAGACAGAGACAAAGAGACAGAGAGAGAAACAGAGAGAGACAGGGACAGGCAGGGACCCGATGGTGGTGACGGTGCTTTGTGCAGAGCGGGCTTGGACAAGTGACAAGTCAGATTTGCAGTTAGATAATCATGTCCAGTGGAGTGCGGCTGGGGCTGGGGAGGATGGGGAGGTGACTGGGGCTCTGGGCAGGACCTGCCTTCAGGAGCAGGACACAGGTGCGCCTGTTGGGGGTGGGGCAGTACCTAAAGCCCTTTGGGAAATAATCACTGGGGCCAGGAGGGTCCTGGGGTGGCTCTGGCCCAGGTTTCCATCCTGCTCCATTCTGAGCGAGTACTGAGTATGAAATCAAACCCAAAAGGCCTTGCCAGTGATGAGGGAATGGAGGAGATGCCCGAGTCTGATTGGTGATTTTTGCTTCCAGTAACAACACCAGTAGCCAAGACCTCAACAACCACAACCAGAGCTCCTACTGTGCCACCCACCAGCCCAGCCGAAAACCGTCCTACCCAAGGATCAAGCAGCCAGGGGAATAACCACAAGGGCCAGGGCCCATGGTAAGGCCCCAAGTCCCTGATCTCACACAACCCTGAATGTCCAGAGTACCTGGTTCTCAGATAAGTAAAGTGAGGCGCAGAGGGGTAAAGCAATTTTCCAGCTGCATGACTTCATGATGGAGGGTTGGGTTCAGTTTTACCCAAACCCTGAAATCTTGGGTTCTTTCTCTAAGAAGGACTTCCTAATTTGGGGACAGGCAGGGTAGGGGGGGTGCTCACTTATATTGTGCCCACAGATATTGTTTTGTTTTGTTTGTTTGTTTTGGGTCCGGTCGAGGGGCCTGAACTCTGGGCCTGGGCTCTGTCCCTCAGCTCTTCAGCTCAAGGCTAG